AAAAAGGAAATAAAAGATGGAGGCCACGATTGGAGTGACATGGCCACAAGCCAAGGAACACTACTGATTGCTAGCACCAAAACCCAGGAGAAAGGGTATGGCAGAGACTCTCCTTCAGAGCCTCCAGAAAGAACCTACCCTGTGGATGTGTTGATTTTGCACTTCTGACCTCCAGGACTGTGAAGGAATAAATTTCTGTTGTGCTTTTTTAAGCTACCCAGTTTGTGGTTATTGTTATGGCAGCCCCCAGGAAACTAATACAAAGACCAAACATTTGGCTTTAAAAAGCACAGAAGTGGGGCCAGGCGCGGTGGCTCACACCTGTAATCCCAGTACTTTGGGAGGCCGAAGCAAGCGGATCACAATGTCAGGAGATGGAGGCCGTCCTGGCCAACATGGTGAAACCCTGTCTCTACTAAAAATACAAAAATTAGCTGGGCATGGTGGCGCATGCCTGTAATCCCAGCTACTCGGGAGGCTGAGGTAGGAGAATCACTTGAACTCGGGAGGCGGAGGTTGCATTGACCAAGGATCGTGCCATTGCACTCCAGCCTGGTGACAGAGCAAGACTCTGTCTCAAAAAAAGAAAAAAAAAAATTACAGAAGTGGCCAGGCAAATGGCTTATGCTTGTAATCCCAACACTTTGAGAGGCCGAGGCAGGAAGATCACTTCAGCAACATGGCAAAACCCCATCTCTACAAAAAATACAAAAATCAGTTGGGCATGGTAGAGCACGCCTGTGTTCCCAGCTACTGAGGATCACTTGAGCCCAGGAGGTCGAGGCTGCAGTGAGCTGAGACTGTACCACTGCACTCCAGCCTGGGCAACAAGCAAGACCCCACGCCAAAAAAAAGAGAAAGAAAGAAAAAGAAAAAAAGCATAGCCGCATAGAGTATAACTTAGAGCTATTTCCAATAAAATAGTCAAAATATTAAAACTTCTAGTGCTTAAAGTGTATCAGCCCCAACTACTTAGGAAATTTTTGTGAAATGACTGGCACTTTAAGGACTCTAGAGAGCAGGGGTTTTAGAGAATCTAAGCTCAGAAACTGCTCTTTTTTCCTGATTCCAATTGCCCCAGAAAGTCTAAAGCATTTTTTTTCATTGTAAATGAAAGGGCAAGAAAACCTCAATCTGACTAGTCATCTACCAGGGTCAGTGATTTTGTCACCATCAAATCATTTTAATTATGGTTACCAACAACAGCAACCAATATCTATTATAGCACCTGACTCGATGGTAAGTCCTTACAGGGTTTTCTCATAATTGCCACTAGGTAGGCACTGGTATCCCCTTGTTATATATAGATGGGAGAACAAGCGAGAGAAGTTAAGTAATTACCCAAACTCACACAGCTGGTAGGAGGAACCAGGCTCTCAATCTGGAACCTACATATGTAACAGCTGTACCTACTGGCTCTGACCTAAGCTGCCCAAATAGTCCCATCTCAACTACATTTAGTAAAAGGAAGCAAGACTGGGCACGGTGGCTCACACCTATAATCCCAGCACTTTGGGAAGCTTAGGCAGGCAGATCACCTGAGGTCAGAAGTTCGAGACCAGCCTGGCCAACATGTTAAAACCCCATGTCTACTAAAAATACAAAAAAAATTAGCTGGACGTGGTGGGATGGCGGGGGGAGGCGCTTGTAATCCTAGCTACTCAGGAGGCTGAAGCAGGAGAATCACTTGAACCCAGGAAGCAGAGGTTGTAGTGAGCCGAGATCATGCCACTGCACTCCAGCCTGGGCAACAGAGCATCACTCCGTCTCAAAAAACAAGAGAAAGAACGAAAACAAGTGACAGGGACTTAATTTCCCTTTTTTTTGAGACAGTGTTTCGCTATGTTGCTTGGGCTGGTCTCCAACTCCTGGGCTCAAGTGATCCTCTCACCTCAGCCTCCCAAGTAGCTGAGACTACAGGTACGTGCCACAGCACCCAGCTTAATTTTCATATACCTTCAAATTAGAGAAACTTTGCTCAAATTAATATGGTTGTCTGAAAGTTAGAATCTATCAAGAGTTTTAATAATGATGTTGAATAGTTAATGACTGCAAGATGAAACAAACATAGCACAGCCACAACTTCCCATTCAAAAGGATTTTCTTCAGGAAAAGTTAGCCAAATCTTAAAAACAAGCAAAACAAAAAAGCAAAACAAAAAACTTGCAGCATTTAAAACTAAACAGTTTTAAGGCCGGGCACGGTGGCTCACGCCTGTAATCCCAGCACTTTGGGAGGCCAAGGTGGACAGATCACTTGAGCCCAGGAGCTCAAGATCAGCCTGGGTAACATGGAAAAATCCCGTCTCTACAAAAAAAATACAAGACTTAGCCGGGTGTGGTGGTGCGTGCTTTTAATCTCAGCTACTCGGGAGGATGACTGGAGCCCAGGAGTCTGTGGAGATGGCACCACTGCACTCCAGCCTGGGCAACAGAGCGAGACTCTCGAAATAGAAAAAAAAAAGAAAAAATTTAAAATACTCAGAAACTAAAAAATGAACTAGTAAATAAATCGAAATCCTTCCAGAATTTAAAAAAAAAAAAAAAATCCTTCCAGAAATCAAATTCCTTTAATTCACTTTGGTTTATGTATAACAACAAAATTGAAGGCTCCAGAAATCTTCAACTAATACAGCAAAGCACCATTAACAGTGAACTCCATCTTCAGGCATATCCAGACCAAAATGTGCACACATGCAGAATGCCAAATATGACATACCCTTTCAAGTAGGTCTTAGTTCTACTCCCACACTCAAGAATTATTAAAGATTATACAAGTAATTCCTTTCGCTTACCTCTCAGCCATATTTCTCCACTTGAAAAGCAAATTACTTGAAGAATCACGAATAGGCAGGTGCAATCTCTCCTTAAAATGTTTCACAATGCCTTGTTCCTCCAAAAGCACAGGAACTCGGTATGTAGAAGAAACATCATGGATACATATGACCTAAGTGATGATGAGAAATCACCATACTTATTCAAATCGACTCAAATATGCCACAAGAATGAGACAAAATTCATGATATACTGATATCACACACACACACACACACATACACACACACACACACACACACACACACACACAAAGCCAGCAACCAAAGCTAGCATCAGAATTTGCACAAGGTTAGCTTTATTTAGTTAGAAAACTCTAATCCCAGAACTTTGGGAGGCCGAGTTGGGCAGATCACCCGAAGTCAGGAGTTGGAGAACAACCTGACCAGCATGGCGAAGCCCCATGTTTACTAAAATTACAAAAATTAGCCGGGCGTGGTGACATGCACCTATAATCCCAGCAACTCAGGAGGCTGAGGCAGGAGGATCGCTTGAATTTGGGAGGCAGAGGTTGCAGTGAGCCAACATCGCACCATTGTACTCCAGCCCCGGCAACAAGAGCGAAACTCCATCTCAAAAAAAAAAGAAGTATACACAAAACAATTGGACAGATCAGGTGTGGTGGCTCACGCCTGTAATCCCAACACTTTGGGAAGCCAAGGCAGGTGGATCACCTGAGTTCAGGAGTTCGAGACCAGCCTGGTCAACAAGGTGAAACCCCATCTCTACTAAAAATACATAAAGTAACTGGGTGTGGAGGTGCACATCTGTAATCCCAGCTACTCAGGAAGCTGAGGCAGTAGAATTGCTTGAACCCGGGAGGAAGAGGTTGCACTGAGCCAAGAGTGTGCCACTGCACTCCAGCCTGGGTGACATTAACGAAACCCTGTCTCACAAAAGAAAAAAAAAAGATTGGATGCAAACAAAATGGCACGACAACATACAAACGCAGAAGCGTCCATTCAATCTGCCATCACATTTTTCAAAGTAGTTCAGACTTTTGCGGTGACTCTGAGGCATCAGGCAGGGGACTCTTCATCAGACGGCTTTCCAAGATGCCAAAATTCAATTTGATCGTTTTTAGAGTTCAGAGAACCCAAAGTTATAATCCGAAGAAACGCTTTCTGCCAAACCTCACCCTTTTCCTGAGCGCCATTTATATCACTCTCTAAACTACAGGCAACTCCAATCCCTTATACCCAAGCCTTACTGGAATAAGAGAAAGAAAGAAAAAAGAAAAGCAAATTATCTGAATACCAAGGTGGAAAGTCCTGCAGAGCAGAGGACCTAAGCCCAAATCACAGGATGATTTCTGTACCAACAAAGTGAACTGAGTCCACTGATGTAGTCAGAAACGCTAGTGCGAATGGTCCACGTGCTCGTGTGTTTGGGGTGACTTAAGTAGAAAGGAGAAGTGAGTGAAAGCAGTAAGTGTCCCGGAAGGAAAGACAAGATAAAGAGATGACAAGGAGACTTCATGTGGTTCTCTCTCTAGAGGTTTGACTGTGAGTTAAAAGCCCACCCTGGTAGGCCAGGCACAATGGCTCATGCCTGTAATCCTAGCACTTTGGGAGGCTGAGGGGGGTGGATCACTTGAGCCCAGGAGTTTGAGACCATCCTGGCCAACATGGTGAAACCCCGTCTCTACTAAAAATACAAAAAAATTAGCCAGGCGTGGTGGTGGGCACCTGTAATCTCAGCTGCTCAGGAGGCTGACATAAGAGAATTGCTTGAACCCGGGAGGTGGAGGTTGTACTGAGGTGAGATCGTGCCACTGCACTCCAGCGTGGGTGACAGAGTGAGACTCTGTCTCAAGAAAAAAAAATAAAGCCCATCCTGCTTTTGTGCCATAAGTTGAGTGATCATGCAAAGAAACATGCATCCTATCTCACTTAAAGGCTAGGGGATCATGGTTGGATCAGAGTCCCCCACTGCTTGCATACATGCCGTGAAAAGTAATATGATCATTGAAAAGGGGCAAAACACTGGCATCAGCAGAAGTGCTGCCAGACAATAAAACCTAAAGAGCAGCACAAACCTGTTCAGGGTTCACGTGACAAAACATAGAAATCTTCTCCTTCACGGCCATCTCGATGGGTGTTGAACTTCGGCAGACAATCTGTCAAAGCCAGTTATGCATGCATCAGCAAACAGGATTCATTTTCAGCACATTCATTTCTTTTTACTACAAGAGACTTGACCAAGTATGTACTTGTTCACTTTGGGAATTCCACTGCACTATTCGCAATTGGTCTGAGCACTGATATAAGTATAGTCAAATTCAGCACAAAGTTATCAGTAAGAACTCGAAACACAAATTTATCAGTTAAGAACTGGAAACATCGAGACATCTCTGGTGAAGAGTCCAGGCTCACAAGTGTTGCTTCATTAACTACGAGAAAAGAGCTACACTGAGGTTGCAAACTTTTTATCAAAGGGGCCAGATGGGAAATATTTCAGGTTTGCAGGTCACACAGTCACTGTCCTGATCCTCAATCCTGGTGCAGTGTGAAAGCAGCTACAGATAATATGTAAATGAATGGGCGTGGCTGCGAGCCAATGAAACTTCATTTACAAAAACAGGCACCCAAGCTGTGGGCCGTTACCTGCCAACCTCTGACTGAGATTATTGGTGATGACTGGATCACCTGCTATAAGGCCACATCACTGTTTAGACTAAAAATAAGAGCAGTGGGCTGGGCATGCTGTAATTACAGCATTTTAGGAAGCCAAGGCAGGAGGATTGGTAGAGCCCAGGAATTTGAGACCAGCCTGAGTAACATAGTGAAATCCTGTCTCTAAAAAAAACACATCGGGCCGGGCGCGGTGGCTCACGCCTATAATCCCAGCACTTTGGGAGGCCAAGGCGGGTGGATTATGAGGTCAAGAGATCAAGACCATCCTGGTCAACATGGTGAAACCCCATCTCTACTAAAAATACAAAAATTAGCTGGGCATCGTGGCACGCGCCTGTAGTCTCAGCTACTCGGGAGGCTGAGGCAGGAGAATTGCTTGAACCCAGGAGGCGTAGGTTGCAGTGAACTGAGATCAAGCCACTGCACTCCATCATGCGTAACAAGAGCGAAACTCCGTCTCAAAAAAAAAAAAAAAAAAAAACATCGGCTGGTCCGAAGGTAGTGAGTTATCTCAATTGATTGTTCAGTCAGTCATAGATCGAACTCCTTGTTCTACTCATTCCCCTCTTCTCACTACTGCACTTGACCAGTCTTTTAAAAAAAACAAAAACAAAAAGAAACACCAAAATTAGCCAAGCGTGGTGGTGTGCACCTCTAGTATCTACTACTCAAAAGGCTGAGGTGGGAGAATCACTTGAGCCCAGGAGGCAGAAGTTGCAGTGAGCTGAGATCACGCCACTGCACCCCAGCCTGGGTGACAGAGCCAGACCCCGTCTCAAAAAAAAAAGAACAGTGATAACCCATCCTAGCAGAGTCACAGGAAAATCCTCAAGATCTCACCTTCATTCTAAAGAATCCAGGAATCGTATAAATGACAGGACATCACACTTGCCAACTATCAGTGTGGCCCATCAAATGAGGGCCTAGGGAAGAACAGATTGAAGCAACATTTGAAGCTAAGGGAATAAGGCTTTCTCGGCTCCCAGATAGAAAAGCTCATTGTCATAGGAGCCATTTAAGAAGAACAAAGGACTTAGATGATGATAAAGATAAAGTGAAGGGCAGCCAGGAGCGGTGGCTCTCACCTGTGATCCCAAGCACTTTGGAGGCCAAGGCAGACGGATCACTTGAGGCCAGGAGTTCAAGACCAGCCTGGCCAACATGGCAAAACTCCATTTCTACTAAAAATACCAAAATTAGCCAGGCATGGTGGCATGCGCCTGTAATCCCAGATACTCTGGAGGCTGAGGCNTTTTTTAAGGGGGGAGAATTTGAAGGTATTATGAAACACTAAAATCACATTTATTTTTTGAATTGGCCCATTTGGAGACAGCATAAATGGAAGATGTTTTCAGGTTCAGTGGACTTACAGGGGACTTGTAGAGGTACACGAATCTTGTTTCAGAGTGAGAACAGCTACCAAAATTTTCTGTTTCAGCCTCCATTGAAGTTACTTACTTGTAAACATAATTTCTGAGTCTTTTATGACTTCGATCTTCTAGTGTTGTATTTAAAGTGGGCTTGTGGGTGTTTTATATGTATGTTTGTGTGTAGATCTCTGGAAAAAGGATAGGGCGAGAGGAAGAGTAGTAGTAGAATAAAATTTGGAATGAGCCGCTTTAGGTAAATAAATGGACCATGAGGCACAAATAATGCTCTCATGGTACCTGTTTAAGTTAGTATGGAAATGGATTTGGTGTGAAATGCATTTTTGTTCCCATCTATAAATTGGGGCTTGCCATTTCTAGAGTAATAGAAAGTTAGAGCTGGAAGGGACAGTGCATAGTCTTATTGACCTCTTATGGATGAGGGTATTCTGGCCCAATTTAGGGATGAGACTTAGAAGTCTAAGTAATTTAACACTAACGTAAGTAGAGTTTGGAATTGAAGCCAGCTTTTCTGATTCTTAGTCCAGTTTTGGATGTGAGCAAGGCAGTAACAGAGGGCTGTTTTTGAGTCGTTTAAGTGTGATTTATAACCTGTTTGGTTTGCGAGCTTAACCACATTCATTCCCTTTCGTTGTTCTTGTTTTTAAGAACAGACTTTCCTTTAACTGTCATCTCTCTCATACCCTTGCTTCTCTGGCTCTTGAACAATCTATTAAAACATGAATCAGAAAATTAGAGTAGGTAGCTAAAAGGTTTAGTAGGCCTGGTCTTAAAATAATGGTATTCTTCTAGTTGGAAAGCTTTTCTTTGCTTTTTAAAAATTTTATATGTCATTTAATTTTTAAATTTTTAAATTTAAATTGACAGATTACAGTTGTGTATGAAAGCACTGCTTTTCTTTCTTTCTTTTTTTTTCCTTTTTTTTTTTTTGAGACAGAGTTTCCCTCCTGTTGCCCAGGCTGGAGTACAATGGTGTGATCTTGGCTCACTGGAACCTCTACCTCCCAGGTTTAAGCAATTCTTCTGCCTCAGCCTCCAGAGTAGCTGGGATTACAGGCATTTGCCATCAAGACTGGCTAATTTTGTGTATATATATATTTTTTGAGACGGAGCCTCTCCCTGTTGCCCAGGCTGGAGTGCAATGGCACAATTTCAGCTCACTGCAACCTCTGCCTCCTGAGTTCAAATGATTCTCCTGCCTCAGCCTCCCAAGTAGCTGGGATTACAGGTGTCTGTCACCATGCCCAGGTATTTTTTGTATTGTTAGTAGAGACAGCGTTTCACCATGTTGGCCAGGCTGGTCTCGAACTCCTGACCTGGAGATCTACCCTCCTCAGCCTCCCAGAGTTAATTTTCTATTTTTAGTAGAGCCGGGGTTTCCCCACATTGGTCAGGCTGGTCTCAAACTCCTGACCTCAGGTGTTCTTCTGCCTGTCTCAGCCTCCCAGAGCGCTGGGAACCACCTCGCATGGCTAAAGGCATTGCTTTTCAATTGTAAATTAATTCAGAAGAAGCCAGAATTTGTGTTGGGTCTTTTCCCAATTATCGTTAAACCTCCTATTTTCACAAATAGCTTAGTACCACCAATATTAACATATACTTTATTGAATGTGATAAGGGTTTCATGGTCTATTTACATATTAAGCATCTTAAAGAAGGTCATGCAGTTTGTGCTCAATAACAGAATTTTACTCATAAATTCCCAGCAGGCTGGGCACTGTGGTTCATGTTTGTAATCCAGGACTTTGGTAGGCCGAGGCAGATGGATCACGAGGTTAGGAGTTAAGAGACCTGCCTGGCCAACATAGTGAAACCCTGTCTCTACTAAAAATACAAAAATTAGCTGGGTGTGGGGGCATGCTCCTGTACTCCCAGCTGCTTGGGAGCCTGAGGCAGGAGAATCGTTTGAACCCGGGAGGCGGAGGCTGCAGTGAGCTGAGATCGCGCCACTGCACTCCAGCCTGGGTGACAGAGCAAGACTCTGTCTCAAAAAAAAAAAAAGGCTCTCAGGACCTGGCCCTTACACTACTGAGTCTATAAGTGCCATCTTGTCCCCTCCCCGCTGGCCTCTTGAATACTCCGTGCTCTTCCTTCCTGCCCCTCAAGCCCTCCTACCCTCCTTCTTTATCTACAGCAACCTCTCTTTATCCTCTCTTTATCCTCCAGCCCAGGAGAAATGCATCCTCCTCAGAGGGCAGACTCTGACGCCCCACCTAAAGCAGCCTATATCCCACCAACCCTTGTTACAGCACTGTACCCATCCTAGAAACTCAGCATATGTTGCCTCTATTTCATTTCTGTCTTTGTTTCCTGCCTCACTACCCCACTAGACTGTAAGCCCCTTGAGGGCATGAATCCAGTACCCTGCATGCAGCACTGGGGGTTAGTTTAGTAGTTGGGACAAGGCAGAAAAGTCCTGAAATTCAATATAAGCCCTAAGTAACAATGTTCTAATACCTGTTGCCAAAATCGCAACAGAACCAAAGGCAGGGCTGGGGGCAGTGGCTCATGCCTGTAATCCCAACACTTTGGAAGACAGGAGTATCACTTGAGCCCAGGAGTTCGAGACCTGCCTGGGCAACAAAGTGAGAACTTGCCTTCACAAAAGGATTTAAAAAATTAGCTGGGCATGGTGGCATGGTGCCTATGGTCCCAGCCACTCAGGAGGCTGAGGTGGGAGGATTGCTCGAACCTGGAGAGGTCCAGGCTGCAGTGAGTCATGATCATGCTGCTGCACGCCAGCCTAGGGTACAGAGCAAGACACTGTCTCTTTAAAACAAACAAACAAACAAAAAAAAAACCTCGAAGAAGCTAAAACATCACATGATATAATCAAGAACTTGGGGGAGAGGGTGGAGAAGTGAGTGTAAGTACCCACTAACTACAGGGCACCAAAATCTAATTTTTGAAAATTATTTATTTTCTCTAAGGAAAAAAAAAGAGGTCTGCACTTAAACTAAACCATATGCATATATCCTCTGTTTTGATGGAGGTCCTCTGGGAGTCAATAATACAGGTATTGATCAACTTACGACCTATGCAACTTACGACCATTCGACTTTACGACCACAATCGCTAGTCACGACTGCTTCGCTGTAGATTTTTGGAAACACTACAACATTTTGATGTGTATCAAGAATATCGCTACCACCTGGGAGGCTGTGACGACAAAGTGCATGAATGGCATCTGGAAAAATTGTGTTAAGCGCTATGTTAATGATTTTGACGGATTTGACAGTGAACATGAACTTGAAACGATTCGGGAAAAAATAGTGAAACTCACTAAAGACCTTTCTTTGGAGTGTGAAATGGAAGATGTCGAAGAGNATTTTGAGAAACTAGCACATGAGCAAAGTGCTTGCCTTTTATTAGTTAGCAGGATTGAACATAATGATTGGTGATGCTTGGCCAAGGAGCAGTTTCAAGACCTGTATTGACAAATCGGAGTTTGGAGTACCCTGGGTGAACAGTGTAGTAGATGAAGTAGAGTGAGAGCAGAGTGCACTGCACAAGCTCGGAATTGAACTAAAATCCTATGTGTGCACCTTGCACAGAATTGGTAACTGTATTAGTGGTTGGGGAGGGACTAAGGGAATGAATTCATAGGAATCACGATTGCTGATTCTCTCCTGTCATCCCTGCCTGCTCCTTTTTAAAGCCTAGAGTTTCCTAAATATGCCTAACATTATAAGATTGTAAGCCATATACAGTATTTATTATTATAACTCTCTGATATTTTGAAGGCCTATTCAATTTATGTGTCTAATAGCATGTTTAGTTTCTTATGATAGATAGCTTATTTATTTTATACTGTATCTGAAAATATTTTGAGAGTGAACCACTATCTACCTCACAGTATTGACATTTGTCAACTATCCAAATCGTAAGAACAAATTACTTTCTTCCTTAAATGAACCTAATTTCTTGTTTCTAAGAGTGGCTGCACATCTTAATTTCTGACTTTTCTCTATGTGCCGTCTTATTATCAACTCGGCTAGCCAGCGGAAAATCTCAGAAAGGTATCCTTTAGAATATCTTCAAAATGTAGGAATTCTGAACTTTCTGCTTTGAGTTATTCTGTTACTGTCTGCAAGCTAACATGCTGCTCTCATGGAATGTGTTATACTGTGTACCATGAGGAACTATTTGGATTTGATTGAGAATATGAAATGGAGAGACGATAAAGTTTAGAGAAAATTTTAATACATTAAAAATTAGGAAAGTAATGGTATAGTAAACTTGGAAAATAGAAAAAGCAGTGACCCATGATCTCATGGTAAATAAGGGATTTTTTTCTGTGTTCATTTATGTCCAAGGGCACAGAGAAAAGATAATTTATGGCTACTTGTGGTTGAAAATTAGTATTTTCAGATTTCAGTTTATTTTTGGTAAGCCTTTACATTTTCTGGTGAGTACTTTTTAAAGCTTTATTGATGCGTAGTACAATAAAAATCATTTTAAGGCTGGGCATGGTGGCTCATGCGTGTGATTGCAGCACTTTGGGAGGCTGAGATGGGCAGATTACCTGAGGTCAGGAGTTTGAGACCAGCCTGGCCAATATGGTGAAACCCCATCTCTACTGAAATACAAAAATTAGCTGAGTGTGGTGGTGTGTACCTGTACGTCCCAGCTACTCGGGCTGCTGAGACAGGAGAATTGCCGGGAGATTGCAGTGAGCCGAGATCCTGCCGCTGCTCTCTCGCCTGAGTGACAGAGCAAGACTTTGTCTTAAAAAAATTTTTTTTAAGTGTTCAGTGTGATGCATTTTGCTGATCCTCCACCATAATAAAATGCACAACATTTTTATTACCCCTCAAATTTTTTGTGGTGAGCCCTTTTACCACTGAATGGTCTTGGGACCCTTATCAAAAATTATTTGGCGATATATGTAACGGTTTATTTCTGGGTTTCCTTTTGCAGTCAGCCCTGTCCCTTGACCTGGTTCCAGGCAACCACAGATCTGCTTTTTTTGTTTCTACCGTTTTGCTTTTCTAGGGTTTCATATAAGTGGAACCAAACAATATGTAGTCATTTGTGTTTGCTACTTTTTACTTCGTGTAATGTACTTGTCCATGTTGTTTGTATTGGTAGATGTTTCTTTTGATTGCTGAGTGGTATTCTGTTCTGTGACTATATCACAATTTTGTTTATCCATTAACAAGTTGATGGATGTTTGGTTCTAGTTTTAATACTGGTGCTATGAATTGCTTCCACGTTTTAGCTATTTTGAATAATATTGAATATCAACATGAGTATAAAAATATCTTGTTGAGGCTCTGCTTTCAGTTCTTTTGGGGTCTATACCCATAAGTGAAATTGTTGGATCATGTGGTAATTCTGTTTTCAATTTTTTTTTAGGAACCTCCATAATGTTTTCCACAGTGGCTGTCCCATTTTATAGTCCCACCAATAGTATGCTGAGGCTTGATGTAGTCACATTCTCTTAAACACTAATTTTGTGTTTTTTTGTTTTGTTTTGTTTTTTAGTTGTAGCCATCCTAATTAGTGTGAGGTGGTATCTAATTGTGGTTTTCATTTGCATTGCCTTAATGATTAGTGATGTTGAGCATTTATGGACATTTGTTTATATTCTTTGGAGAAAGGTCTGTTCAGTCAAGTTCTTTGCTCATTTTTAAATTGGGTGTTTTTTTTTTGGTTTTAGGAGTCCTCTGTAGATTCTGGGTATTAATTTCTTACCACATACATGATTTGCAAATATTTTTTCCTGTTTTGTGGGTTGCCGTTTTATTCTGTTGATAACTATCTTTGATGTAGAAAATTTTAAAAATTTCATGAAGTTTATTTTTTGGCTGGTGTGATATCCGAAGACATTAATTGCCAAGTCCAACTGTGAGTCTTTTGCCCTATGTTTTTTGGGAGTTTTAAAGTTTTATGTCTAACATTTAAGCCTTATATCTATTTTGAGTTAATTTTTGTATATGGTATTAGGTAAGGTTCCAACATTGTCTTTTGCATGTGGATATCTCATTTTCTCATCACCATTTATTGAAGAATCCTTTTACCACTAAATGATCTTGGCACTCTTATCAAAAAGTATTTGACCTAGGCTGGGTGTGGTAGCTCACATCTGAAATCCTAGCACTTTGGAAGGATGTGGTGGGCAGATCACCTGAGGTCAAAAGTTCAAGACCAGCCTGGCCAACATGGTGAAACCCCATCTCTACTAAAAATACGAAAACTAGCCTGGCGTGGTGGTGTGTGCCTGCCTGCAGTCCCAGCTACTCGGGAGGCTGAGGCAACAGAATCTCTTGAACTTGGAAGGCAGGTTGCAGTGAGCCGAGATTGTGCCATTGCACTCTAGCCAAGGTGATAGAATAAGACTCTGTCTTCAAAAAAAAAAAATATTATTTGACCATATATGTAGGGGTTTATTTCTGGGTTCTCTAGTCTATTCTATTGTCTTATATGTGTCTCTATGCCAATACCACAGTGTTTTGACTATCATAGCCTTGTAGTAAGTCTTGAAATCAGGAAGTGGGAGTCCTTCAGCTTTTTCTTCTTTCTCATGATTATTTTGGCTATTTAGGATCCCTTGGGATTTTGGTGGGGATTGCATTGAATCTGTAGGTTGCTTTGGATAATATTGACATGTCAACAGTATTAAGCCTTCCAATTCATGAACGTGGGATATGTTTCCATTTATTTATGTCTTCTTTAATTTATTTCAGCAGCTTTGAAATTTTTTTTGTCCAAGTCTTTTGCCTCTGATTAAGTTAATTCTAAGTATTTTTATTATTTTGAGTATACGTTAATTCTTGCCAAAAGTTTTTCTGAGGCTTTATCAGTTTCAGATACTGGTCTTACATGCACACATTAACTAAATATGTGAACCTGTGTTTGTAGTCATCATGGGCAGTGGATTTTGTCATCTGGGTTTCACTGAGGTTTTTCTTTCCTTAGATGATTTCACTGTGATTGTTTCTTTACCATATCTGGCAAGGATTTTTTTTGAGATGGAGTTTTGCTCTGTCTCGGCTGGAGTACAGTGACACGATCTTGGCTCACTGCAAACTCTGCCTTCTGGGTTCACGCAATTCTCCTGCCTCAGCCTCCCAAGTGGCTGGGATTATAGACGTGTGCCACCGTGCCTGGCTAATTTTTGTATTTTTAGTAGGTTTCACCATGTTGGCCAGGTGGGTCTCAAACTCCTGACCTCAGGTGATCTACTTTCCTTGGCCTCGCAAAGTGCGGGGATTACAAGGATTGATTTTTAACCATTTCTGTAGCAAGAGTTTATTATTACATTTATTATTGGGTTTCTAATGGACACAAAGATTGAACACCTCAAACTAGTAATAAAAGCAAATAACAATAGTAAATTCGTTGCTGTTCTGAGTGCTTAGAGTATGTAGAATTAGCTTGTTGAGAATATTGCCCACATATTGTATTACAGAGCTATGTATTTTATTAGATAAGTAAGTTGCTTTTTGAGTAATGACAGGATGCTTTTAATGCTTTGAGGACATCAAGATTCAGTTGCTGAATTCAGTCCAATATTTTTCTTTTTTCTAGGGCAAGAGGATTATGACAGATTACGACCGCTGAGTTATCCACAAACAGATGTATTTCTAGTCTGTTTTTCAGTGGTTTCTCCATCTTCATTTGAAAATGTGAAAGAAAAGGTGAGCTGATCAGATATTCTTGGCCTAAGAAGGTCATCCCAGAATTTCTACTGACCTGTAATAAATAGCATTAGAGGTTTGTGGATTAACAAAGGTGTATTTTAAAATACCTTTTTTTAGTGGGTGCCTGAGATAACTCACCACTGTCCAAAGACTCCTTTCTTGCTTGTTGGGACCCAAATTGATCTCAGAGATGACCCCTCTACTATTGAGAAACTTGCCAAGAACAAACAGAAGCCTATCACTCCAGAGACTGCTGAAAAGCTGGCCCGTGACCTGAAGGCTGTCAAGTATGTGGAGTGTTCTGCACTCACACAGGTAAGGATGGCATGAAACCCCATGCTTATTTACGGTCTTGTCATTTATTAGAGCATTAGGATACAGGAGTTGTTTCTAACAGTGATCAGCAGTGCCCAAAGATGCCCAGCAAGAATATGAGCAGTGTCATATTGTATACTCTTTTGTTAGAGGCCTCTGAGTATTTTGGAGAATAATTATATAGTTTCTAAACTGCTTGTGTTGGTAAGCTCTCATGTTGTACTGAATGATTCGTCGAAAACCTTACGGGAAAGGTTCAGATAAGCACAAATTTGCAAGAGAGGATGTGAATGATTTTTTTTTCCTAGGCACTTAAAATTTTCCTCTAAATATGTCTCATCTTTTCTTGCCAATTCTGACAATTGATATTATACTGTTTCTTGGGTAATTCAACCAGGTTAGGGAATTAGTCATAATGATTGAGACTTTCATGTCAAAGAAGGCAGCCATGGCTATTTCTGCCACAGTTCTCAAACGTGCTTTATATAGTGTCTCTATTCCTATGTTTTTGGAAGTATTCCTTCCTCATGTGGACCTCTCTTTCATTCTGGCCTTTTTTGAGTGATTTAATTGGAACTCTTTTAGTAGTTTGATGGGAAACTCAGATTTTGAGGATAGGGAGCAGTGTTAGGGTGTTTAGAATGGGACTTGTAACTGATGTGTATGGTTTAAACTTTTTCACCTTCATGATATCGTCGGTTCTATCCTTTGAGTACTGTTCTGGGGACAAAGGAAAAAATTATGGAAATAATAAGCACAAAATTCTTATGTTCAGTACCGGTAATGGTGCTTTGAAGTTGGAACAGTGAGCAAACATGCCTAATTAAAATAGGACAAGATTGAAGGGTGGAGGTTTCTGTATTAAACTCTTTACATTATGCTTGCTTTTTCAGGTAATTGTTCATTTTTATTGTTTTTTTTTTAAAAAACATTATTGGATTCTTAACTCCATGTATACTAGGGTAAATGGCATACATGTATGGTTACTTATTACATATACACTAGGTATTTAGTTTATAGGGCCTAGTATAATTTAATAAGCTTCAATTTAGTACTTGGTTGGATATTTACAGTAAAACTTGGTTGCTTAACTGGGATATCCCTCAGGATAATGTCAAGGCCTAATGCCAGATGCTTTAAACATAATCTTCTAATCCTAGTTTTTGGGGCAGTTTAGTGCTGTTATAAAAGCAGCTATTTAAAAGTTGAGAAGATTTTACATCTTCTCACACACAGTACTATTTTGAGAGTTTAAAAAAATGCCTGGTGCTGCTTTCTTTGTTTTAATAACATTCCCAGAAAAGTATGCTTGTGTGTGTATATAGAGGTACAGAATGTCATGTGTGAAACACTTGTGTCCGTGTTAAACATTAATTCTGTGTGCTTCTGATGCATACTTCTGTTCTCTAGATAGGGGTTCCTTTGAGGGAAAGACATAGGCCCTGTGGATCCACTTTTAGGTCACTAGTAAAGCTTTAGATAATTGGATGCTTTTAATGTAAGATTTTTAGTGTCAACAGATGTATGTAGTAAGTCACTTCGTAGCGAATATGAAGTTTAAAAGGTCTCAGCAAGTATATTTTTCTTAGGAGAGTTTGAAGTATGGAAAAGTCAAAAGAGGAGAAGTTATAAAATGGGGTCTGTCGTGTTTGGGAGCTAGAACTTTTAGGATTACAGATTCTGTTTGTTGATTCCTCTAAAACTAAAGTCTTAATGTAAACAGATAATGGTCAAGCAAAGATTATAGAGAAAGGAATTCCTTCTTGTTAAGGGGTACACTCCAGTTTCTAGTGGTTCTCCTCCTCTTTTTTTTACTTATAAAGTATGTTTTCCTTTCTGTACTCTCTCCTTCCTTTTATATTTGACTAGGAATGAGACTTGTTCCTAGATGTGTAGAAAGGATTGCAGAGGAATTTTAACTTTTATGTAGCATTTCTACTTTGTAAATGATGTAGAAAGAAGAAAGCTTTTTAACCTCTTTGCTTCTTTTAAAGGATTTATTGCTGTTTCTCATTTATTTTGTATCTAATGTGATGTATGGGTACCAGTCCTGTGGAATGTCATGAATGGGGGCAGGGTAGAGGTGGGAACACTTGGGGTAGTCTGGGGTTGGCACTTAAAATTAGAGCTGTGTTCTGGGACTTTTAGGACATATTTACTTGGGATCAAACTGATCAAACTAAAGAACATGTGAAACAACCTTGAGTGGTAAACTTGTGGCTTCAGATTTAGGTGAGTTTAGGTGAGTCTATAGACCTGGGTCCTAAGTACCACCACTGCTGAGTCACACTGTCATGTTGGAGTTTCTGGCTGAGGTGTAAGTGTATTTCTGTAACTTAATCCACTTAAGATCTGAGAATATTCTTTGTTTTCACTCCATGCTTTATGCTCTGATACCCATGCAGACATCTTAAAGCACTGGATTGCTTGCTAAAACTCATTCTAGGACCCCATTCTTTGTTTTCTTATGACTTGGGTGGTGGTTACTTGCTCTAATAACATTGCTGAATAACTGAAGTGTATGCTGTTTCTAGAGTCCGTTCTTTAAACTCCTTCTAGTTCGTACTATTGCACAATTAACACTCTTTTTAAACGTCCAAAGCTTTTTGTTCTGAGAAACCAGTTTACTCTGAAATCCTAATTAATCGCACTCAGATATGTCATTGAACCTAGAAACACATAGCATGCCTGTTAGTCTGCTATTTGTGTCCTTCAGTTATTCAGGGCCTGAATTCACATAAGCCTGAAATTGTAATAGATTTATCTCCAAAATGTGTTAGAAGTCAGCGTACTGCATTTTAATAAAAAGTGCTTTCCTGCTCAGTTAACCTTGCTTGAGGTGAAGTTTTTGGTCAATTACCTACTCTCCCAATTATGGGCTTAAGATCTTGCATTCTGGCATTTTTCTTAAGGCACACTGCTTCTGTGAATTCAGCTCATTTAATCCGGACTGCTGTTGTACCTGCTAGTCTTTCTAATCCTCTAACCTGGCTGCTATTCTCTCTCCTCCCCTCTGTCTTGTAGAGAGGTCTGAAGAATGTGTTTGATGAGGCTATCCTAGCTGCCCTCGAGCCTCCGGAAACTCAACCCAAAAGGAAGTGCTGTATATTCTAAACTGTTTTCTCCTTCCCTTCTTTGCTGCTGCTTCCTGTCCCACCACTGTAGAAAGATCGTTTAAAAACAAAGGAATAAAACCATCCTGTTTGAAAGCCTCTGCGTCTTTTTACTCACCACCTTAGAGCAATCTCTGTATTAGTTTCGATCAAGAATGCAATATCTTATAGAAATTTTTTGTGATCAGTAGTCAAGTTGGACTTTTTTTAACTTTCTGCTGCTTGAGTTGCCTGATGCTCAGAGCTTTTTGGTTTGGATTACTATTGAAAAAGGAAACTTGGTCTGGTATTAAGAATGTCCTCTTAGAGAAAATAACAAGAGTTTTAACACTTCTAGATCTTAGTTCTAGGTGGAGAAAGTAACACAAACACCATTTGACTCTTATGATCAATTGTTAATTGTAATTGCATGACAAACTATGGGAAAGGGGTGACCTAGTTGAGTGTAATGGGGAAGGGAGGATTCTTTTCTAGTTTTTCTTTGTGCAGTGAAACTTTGTGTTGCTGTTGCTTTGGCTGTCTGTGCTGTAGTGGAGTTTTTGTCAGTCTGGGGTGGGGAAGATATTGATGTATCTGCTACTGCTTTATAAGTTCATTTGTTGCGTTATCTTTTAAGAATAGCATCCATTTAAACAGTTGACTTACAGTTTGTTAATGTTGAGATGTAAAGCTGCCACCTTTATATTTTCCTGCTTCTGATTTTGTTGTGAGGGAAATATACAATTGTGGTTACCTTCAAATTTTGAAATTAAAATATACAACTGTTTGTATAAATGCCTGATGAAGCTTTATTCCTGTTGCACTGACTGGCTCTAATGTTACATCTGTATCAAGTATCCACATTTCTGCTCCCTTGAATCTCCTTGGCTCTGTCTAATTGGTGGGATAAAGGGAGTTCAAAGTGACTATCTTTGCAGCTACCATAATCACCCTCTCTCTCTTTGCCTGTGCCTTCCGTAGAAAAAGGATGCCACCTTCCCGTGCCCGTCCTCTCAGTCCTGTTTCACATCCAGCTGTTTCATTTGAATGCAGAGCTGCTTCCCTTGTTTTTATGTAAAATGTTTTAGCAGCGCATTACAAAACTCATATTGAATGAGCAAATGACCCATGTGCTTGTTTGCTTCTTGTGACATACATTGGTCTGCACAAAGCTTTCTCAAAGGACCACTGTCTCTTTCGTGAATATCTGCTCCTCTGATCCTGAATTGCTGAATCCTTCCAGTGCCCTGGACAAATCTTGGTGAAGTGAGATTATTGTGTTGAGATTCAGGGTTGTTTTTAATGTTTATTTCTTTGCCACCTCTTGGGGGTTTGAATGTTTTAAATTTGAACTCTTATTATACTGAAAATCAGACCGCCCATTTTTTCTTTCTACCCCTTTTCAGAAAGGCCTAAAGAATGTATTTGACGAAGCAATATTGGCTGCCCTGGAGCCTCCAGAACCGAAGAAGAGCCGCAGGTGTGTGCTGCTATGAACATCTCTTCAGAGCCCTTTCTGCACAGCTGGTGTCAGCATCATACTAAAAGCAATGTTTAAATCAAACTAAAGATTAAAAATTAAAATTCGTTTTTGCAATAATGACAAATGCCCTGCACCTACCCACATGCACTCGTGTGAGACAAGGCCCATAGGTATGGACCCCCCTTCCCCTCCCAGTACTAGTTAATTTTGAGTAATTGTATATTGTCAGAAAAGTGATTAGTACTAGTTTTTGTTTCGTTGTTTAAAAAAAATTTTTTTTAAAGCAAGGCATGCTTGTGGATGACTCTGTAACAGACTAATTGGAATTGTTGAAGCTGCTCCCTGGTTCCACTCTGGAGAGTAATCTGGGACATCTTAGTGTTTTTTTTTTTTTTCCCTCCTCTTTTTTTGGGGGGAGTGTGTGTGGGGTTTGTTTTTTAGTCTTGTTTTTTTAATTCATTAACCAGTGGTTAGCCCTTAAGGGGAGGAGGACAGATTGATTCCACATTCCACTTCCTAGATCTAGTTTAGAAAACATGTTCCCCATCTGGTGCTCTTAGGAAGGAGTGTAGTAAATGCCTCATTTAATAACATACTCCTTTTTGAAAGTTGCCTTTTCTCTCCACCCTTGAGTAGATCCAGTATTTGATGAAACTCATGAAAGTGGGTGGAGCCTGTCTTGCCCCTCCTCTTTTCTAGGATGCACTATATGTGACTGTGACTTTCAAGGACATTTGTTTGCCATTTGCTGATTTTTTGGGGAAGTTAGTTTCTAACTTCTTTCACTGATAAATGAAGAAAAGTATTGCACCTTTGAAATAACACCAAATGAATTGAGTTTGTAATTAAAAAAATTTTTTTCCCTGTTAGTCATTGTCTTATATGCTTAGCATAGATTTGCAACTCAGTAGTATATGGTGTTCCTAGAATGCAGCTGAAGACCTGGTATGTAGAGGAAATACGAGGGGTGGTGCTAGAAGACAGACATCTGTGGAATGATTCACATCCTCTCAAGTTAGGAGGATGGAGGCCTGCTTCATTAAGAAGCTGGGGGTAGGGTGGGGGTGGGGAGAACACTTAACAACATGGGGACCAGTCAGGGGAATCCCCTTATTTTTGTTTTACATATGAGGAACCCTAGAGCAGCCAAGTAAGGCTCTCTAGCTTAATAAAATCATGGAAAGAGTCTTATGAAGACTCTTCATAAGTGTTAATAGGGATTTTATCAGCTTATTTTGGTTGCAGTTTCCAGTTTTTAAAAATGTTGAGGTAATCTTTCCCACCTTCCCAATCCTTATTCTTGTAGATTCATTAGTGTTGAACCAATGCTTTCTCATGTCTCAATTCTTTGTATATGCATTCTTTTCAGATGTATTAAACAAACAAAAACCCTTACAAGCCAGCCTGAGGGTTGTTATTTTCCCTCCGTCTCTTACTTTTCAGATATTGAGGAGTGGGAACTTGACTCTTGATAACATCAATTTTTAACAAATATTGGGATAAAATTTTAAAGCTTTGTTATTTTTATTTTCTGGCATTCAGTTTGAGATAATATTTGGCCCTCTGTATATTCAGGTTTGTGCTTTCTCCCCTAAGTTTGGTAGGCAGGGCAGGAACTCCTTCCCGTAAATACCAAGTAGGTCCATAATAATTCTTAGTGAAGCAATGTTCAGGAAGCTCACTTCTTGTGCAGGAAGGAAATGTCAGTGTACCTTTAATCCGTAGATCATTGGAAAGCAGCTAGTTTCCCCCCAAGTTTTCTGCATTAGTGGTTCTCAGACTTGGCTGCTAACTGGAGTGCACGTGAACAGTGTGATTTTTACGTCTTCCAGGTATTTCTAAAATGTAGCCAAGTTTGGGAACCACTGCACATAGGTGGTTATCTCAAATTACTTCTATCAGAATACAGATTCCATGCTGTGAATCTGAATGTGGGGTACATTTCCTTTAGCTGGCTAGAAATGTTTATTTACCTTTAGGACATTTTACTGATCTGTATGAGAATCTTAGAAACTAAGAACCCTTAAAATCAGTTAAGGTTGATACACTGTGGCCTCATTTTGATAGTTCTCTGCATGGAGTCATGTCTGGCATGATTTGCATACTGTGCTAGAATTAAGCTGGGTTGGTTGAGAAGGGGTTAGGAAGAGGCAGATGTAAGCTTTAACAGTTCTAACCAAGAAATGCATCTTATTTATTCCTTTTTGGCCATATTAGGGAGAGATAACCTGGATCATGTGATGTCCTGGAAAGCAGAGACATATGTATCCTTAGTGTAGTCAGGGGCATATGGGTCCTTGACTATTGCTATGTCTTTGTCCTAAAGCAATGTTTGACTTATGAGATGGCTCTAGAAATAGTCATTTGATGGGTTTATTATTTTATGAATAAGTGAAATAAAGCAGGTGATATGGTTGTGTCAGTGAATTATCTATGTATCAGAAGAACAAGGATGGCAACGGGATTGATAGAAGCTAATGTTTTTTAAAAATGTTTTCAAATTGATTTCTGCATGTCGGAAAAACTTGGTTAGCAAATGGATGCAGCTAACGTTTTCCATTTAAATATTGTTTTCTATTTGACTTAACAAGCGTGTTTATAGTCATGGCTTAGTAGGTGAGTAATATTCTCCAGGGAGTATGGTTTAGAGGTTGGAAAGGGTTATTGAAAATAGTCTTTACACGGTTAGTTTGTGTCAGAATTTACAGTATTTAATACAATGTTAATGTATCATTGGGATTTATAGTGTTTTACTGAACATCTTAGAAATAGGTTTTTATAGTTTGTTAAAGTTATGTTCTTCAAGCTGGACTTCATGCTAGAAGGGGAGCATATTTTAAGGGGGAAGAAAAGGATTGTGGTTTGAAAGAACAATTGTAATATTTCCTTCAGTCTGAGGTGTATTTTCCTCACATTTTAATATTACAATCAGGATACCTCTTAACTTTTACATACATTTAATGTAAAAGTACTTTTTCTTCCTTTTGAACTGCAAGTTGTCAAAAAATTTGTGCTGTCATAATTGTTACCTTCATAGAATGGAGAAAATAGTGGTACTTCTTTTATTTCATTGTTAGGTTTGGACTATTTTCCTTTTCTTCTTCCATTTTTGAGGTTAATTAGTGGTTATTTTGGTGCTGGGTGCTAAGAAACTTGGAATACAAGGGCCCTGCTTGAGAAGGATTGAAACTTAGTCTATTCTGGGTACAAATTTAGAAATTGGTTATATAACTGTGGGGGAAGGGAAAACATTTCCCCAGGAAGCAGCAACTCCATTCTCTCTCAGGAAGGGCTGATGGTTAGGGCATCTCTGAATGATTATTGGAGAGAAGTGGCTTTATGGCACGTTCGTTTTCTGTAAGTCTTACTTTGTATCCACCCAACTAAAGAGCATGGTGATTTAATTATATGGCCCAGTCACATTTTCTTTCCAGGCTGCTTGCATACTTTTAAATACTACTTCAAGTCTTTTTTCAAAGTGCCTTCACCTTAAAAAAATTCGCATTTTATTCACTTGCCAGAATAATGGTGCATTAAACCATGCCAATATAGCTTATTAAAACAAGCTTCATTTTTCTCACTCATGGATCAGCTGAACTTATCTCTAGCCTTCAGATTGGGCTCAGGTGGGCTCTATGTTTCTCATTCTGGAGCCTAGTTCCAGAGAGCAGTGGCTGTCTGAGTGTGGACTTTCTCATGGTAGGCCAAAGAGGGGCAAGGGAAAGTGCATTTATATTCTCTCGTATTCCATAGCCCAGAGATGCCATATAGCCAATCCCAAGTCAGTGCTATTCATTCTTTCCTTTTTGTTTTGAGACAGAGTCTTGTTCTTGTCGCCCAGGCTGGAGTGCAATGGCGAGATCTTGGCTCAGCACAACCTCCCCCTCTCGGGTTCAAGCAATTCTCCTGTCTCAGCCTCCGGAGTAGCTAGAGCTAGGATTACAGGTGCCCATCACCACGCCTGGCTAATTTTTGTATTCTTTTTGAGACGGAGTTTTGCTCCTGTTGCCCAGCCTGGAGTGCATTGGTGCAATCTTGGCTCACTGCAACCTCTCCCTCCCAGGTTCAAGTGATCTCCTGCCTCAGACTCCCGAGTAGCTGGGATTACAGACATGCACCACCACGCCTGGCTAATTTTTTGTATTTTTAGTAGAGATGGGGTTTCGCCATGTTGGCCAGACTGGTCTCTAACTTGGCCTCCCAAAGTGCTGGAGTTACAGGTGTGAGTCACGTCTGGCTGTTTGTTCATTCTTAGAGTCAATTAGAAAATTTAACAAATAGAATTTTTAAAGCAATTAAGGCACTGAGTATATACAGAGAGTAAAATAGATGTCTTCTGACTTCCACCTGGAATTTTCTTTCCCTTAAAATTTTGATAGCTGCTTCCTCTTGACTAACCCTGTCATCTCTTTCCACTTTGCATTGCTCTCAAGAGAGTAAAGGTTTTATCTGTGTGTGCATATTCATGACACACATTCATTTGTCATTATTCATCAAAAACCTGTTCCCTTCCCTGGCACTAAAGACATTGGAAAATGATAGTCTCTAGCAGTGCAGATGTAAGCAGGCAGGGGTAAGGACTTTGGTCTGAGTGGTGCATAGGGTGCTCTGTCCACTGTATTCTGTGTGCATGTGCTGCTATGCGGGTGGTCAGTTGGAACCCCTGATGGTTATCTGAGCCACTGCCTAGGCCACACACAGCCTTTGTGCAGATTAAAAAGGCCCTTCCAAAGATACTTTATGAACGACTTGTAATAATTTAGTGATTTTGTTTTCTAGAGAACAAGGCATTTGGTTGCTACCTGCTAGAACTTACAGGAAATACACAGATCTACTTTGTGAGGCAAATAGTGCTGCCTTAGATGTGTTGCACTTGTTCAGTGCACAGCTTGGACAGTTCATATGCAATGTGGTATTGAGATAATTGTTATTCTACCTTGTATTTATTTAGATAGTGGGATTAAAAATAGGCTAAGATGGAGAACTGGGTGGGGAACAATTTTGTAATCCTTTTTTGTTCACATACCACAGTCACAGAATTGAGACTAGCTAGTTTAAATCTCTACATCTTGCAAATGGTAAGGAGAGTTGAGGACATTTAGATGACTTTCCTGTCACCACACAGCTGTATGGTAGCAGAGCTGGGTGTGAAACCTGCATTCCTGTCTTCTCCTTTTGTGGTGCTTACAGTGCTGTGTTAGGTCCAGTTTTACCTCTTAAATATATATATATATATTATTATTATTATTATTTTTGAGACCGGGTCTTACTCTGTCACCCAGGCTGGAGTGCAGTGGCATGATCTCCCCTTACTGCAGCCTCTGCCTCCTGGTTTCAGACAATTCTCATGCCTCGACCTCCCAAGTAGCTGGGACTACAGATGTGAGCCACCACACATAGCTAATTTTTATATTTTTAGTAGTGGGGGAGTTGTACCATGTTGGCCAGGCTGGTCTCGAACTCCTGACCTCAGGTGATCCGCCCACCTTGGCCTCCCAAAGTGCTGGGATTACAGGCATGAGGCACCACGCCCGGCCTGAAATCCATGTTCTTAAGTCCCTTCTCAAAGCCGAGTACTGCCTTCTTGCAGCTCTACTTAAGTTTTTCCTAGAATCTCTCTGTACTTGTTTTGCTGCCCTCAGGTAATTTGTGCATTAGAACTGGTTTGTGGCCGGGCACGGTGGCTCAAGCCTGTAATCCCAGCACTTTGGGAGGCCGAGGCGGGTGGATCACGAGGTCAAGAGATCGAGACCATCCTGGTCAACACGGTGAAACTAAAAATACAAAAACATTAGCTGGGCATGGTGGCGCGTGCCTGTAATCCCAGCTACTGAGGAGGTTGAGGCAGGAGAATTGCCTGAACCCAGGAGGAGGAGGTTGCAGTGAGCCGAGATGGCGCCATTGCACTCCAGCCTGGGTAACAAGAGTGAAACTCTGTCTCAAAAAAAAAAAAAAAAAAAAAAAAAAAAAAAAAACAAATTAAAAAAAAAAAAAAAAAAAAAAAAAAAAAAAAGAACTGGTTTGTGACCGAATGGTTAAACTTTTGTGAAGTTAGGCACTTGCCTCTTCGAGGCATATCCAGTGAGTCATTAAAGCCCTACGTTGTGGAAAAATGAAGTATGTCTAATAAAGGAGTACAGTGGGAGGTTTAAAATCACACTGCTGATTAGTGGGTCAAAATGGGAGGAAAGCCCTGATTTTAATACAGTGTCGTAGTCTCATAGGTGATTTCCCCAAAAGCAAAGAAATGCTCATTGGATTTGGGGTTCACCATGCATTCCTTTTCTGAAGGAGAAGTGACAGATTTTAAGACAAAGGTAAGTATAGCATTTTCTTATATGATAGAGTACAAGATCATGACTGTTCTGTTTGCTCTGAGGCATCCCACAGAGCA